TTGTTTCTTCTTGTTGTTTGCTTATTTGTTTTTCATTTAGAAAATTTGTTGTCCCTCCAGGGATCTAAAATTCAAAAATGGAAAATGATACTCAGAATTCTTTGATGGAGCCACCCACAAGAAAAAGGCCGATCCAGGAGGATAAGAAGTGAGACAAATAGGATTGATCCAGATATGCAGACTACTGCAAGCATCTCACATAGTCTCCATGTGTTGCAAGAATTCTAATGGGACTGTAGACCAGGACTCGTGTATATCTGCTGGGTGCTACTGAATAAAGATTTCATGAGGGTAAGAATTTTAATTTTAATCTTTTTACACTGAGTATCTCTTGCCTCTAGTATATAAAAGAGGATTTCTAAATGTTTAATGAAATATAATGAAGACAAAAAAAAACTACCATCAAATGATGCCCACTCATAGCAACTCTATAGGACAGGTTAATCAGACAGTTGGATTCCTCAACACTAACACAGAGAACTCTGAAGGAAATAAGGAAAACAGTATTATTTACAAGAGCTACCCAAAAGAGGAAGTACTTAGGAATAAATCTAACTAGAGATACAAAACTCACCACTGTGTCGATAGGATCAAGGACCAGGCATCAAAAATCATATCATTGTAAATGAGGAGGAGTGCGGAGTGGAGACCCAAAGCCCATCGGTAGGCAACTGGACATCACCTTACAGAAGGGTCGCCGGAAAGAGACGAGCCAGTCAGGGTGCAGTGTAGCACCGATGAAACATACAACTTTCCTCTAGTTCCTAAATGCTTCCTTCCCCACCCCACCCCCACTATCATGATCCCAATTCTACCTTACAAATATGGCTAGACCAGAGGATGTACACTGGTACAGATAAGAGCTGGAAACACAGGAAATCAAGGACAGATAACCCCCTCAGAACCAATAATGAGAGAAGCGATGCCAGGAGGGGAAGGGGAAGTTGGGGGAGAAAGGGGAACCGATCACAATAATCTACATATAACCCCCTCCCTGGGTGGAGAAAAGTGGTGAGGGGATACATTGGTCAGTGTAAGACATGAAAATAATAATAATTTATAAATTATCAAGGGTTTGTAGGGAGGTAGGGAGGGAGAAAAATGAGGAGCTGATACCAAGGGCTCAAGTAGGAAGAAAATGTTTTGAGAACGATGATGGCAACAAAGATACAAATGTGCTGGACACAATGGATGAATGGGTTGTGATAAGAGTTGTACAAGCCCCCAATAAAATGATCAAAAACACCAAAACCTCACCACTGTCACTCAGCCAATTCCAACTCATAAGGCACTTCTAGGGAAAAGTAGAGCTACACTGCTCAACTAGGCTCCTTAGAGATACAAAAGACCTAAACAAAACCGTAAAACCCTGCTACTAGAACCAAAAGAGAACTACCTAAATGGAAGAATATGCCACATTCATAGATAGAAAGACTTATGAAAATATCGATACTACCTAAAGTGATATACAGATACTATGCAATCCCGACCCATATTTCATCATAGTAATTAGTTCTTCCCTGAAGAAACGATTTCTTCAGGGAAGAAATAATTACTGTGAAATAACTTTATATGAAAAGGAATGAGATCTGAAATTAGCAAATAATCACAAAGAAAAGTAATAAAGTCAGAAGCCTCATTCTCCCTGATCTGAACTAATACACAGCCTCAGTTGTCAAAACAGTCTGGTGCCTGGCACCACAGACACTGACCAGTGGAGCACAACTGAGAACCTGGAAGGAAATTCATCCACCTCCGGAGAGCTTATCTTGGACAAGGAGCTGAAATCCATTCAATGGGGAAGAGAGAGTCTCTTTAACAAATGATGCCGCAAAA